AAAATAAATTAGAAGTTGATGCCTGTGATCTTGAATGTTTATGGGACAATAATACTAGAAACAACAAAGAGATGGGGAGTAACTTGATAGTGTATTATCATGAAATTCCCTCTGTTCTTGAACAAATGACAACAAGTTCAATATGGAGGTTAACAATGTAAACAAGACTGCAAAGGAGAACAAACAACAAAAAGCTCAATGTTTATAGGAATAAGAAAGAAACTTTATTTACAATATAAATAACAGTTATATCTATGCATAAATGAATAGTACTTGAATTGCACTAATAATAGGTTTAAGTGCTATGGGATTTTTCACAACCATTAAGCATCAGACATATAAATAAAGTGATTTTTGTACTTACTAGTGGAATGAAAAGGATATCTCATCTATTTTTATCTGAGCTGTTGTATATTTATAGACTGTTTCATACGTTCACTAAGGGTCTTAATGTGTTTTAAACTTAACCCTTTAAAATCTCAGCTTACTCAACTGGATATTTAAAAATGTAAAATTCTGGCTCACAAAACCGCTTTCTTCATGAAGAGATCTTTTGCTCCATTCTGTGTTGTTGGTTGTCATCAAGACGTTGCTCAATCCTGCTGCTAGATCAACCTTCTTGAATTGAAGAAGGAAAGGATGATGATGTCAATCTTCCTTCTGCCTAAAGGTGATGAACAAAGCCCCAGTGCAATGCCTAAAAAACTCACTGTTTTATGATCATCTCCAAGCCTTTGTTAAACTCAAATGAGTCAATTTGCAATACACATGAGAAGACACAATATGAGCAAAATAAACAGAGCAGTTAACTTTTCTTTCTTTTTTCCACTGGTATGCAAAAATTCAACACTAAAGCAGATGATAAAAACATCTGCAATCAAAAAAATCATTAAACTAGCAGATAACATGTTTGCTAAATAGTTTGACACTGGGATACATATTTTTTAAAATTTTAAAATAAAATATAGCTTATCTACAACATAAGTGTATATATATTAAAAAATAGCAAAATGTTTTGTTTATTTTATTTTAATTTCCAACACTTATGGTAGTAAAGAATGAATTAAAAGAAAACATCAGAATAAGAAGTAATATTTTAAAGAAGATAATGTCACCTGTTATTGTGCTAGATCCACCTTCAACAAGTAACCATATTCAACCTAATTGCAATTAACTGTAGATAAAATAGTAGCAATAATTCAATTATGATGATATGATTGTTCAATGAGGCCTGAAGTGTAATCGTCAAGATATTGTGAAGAGATCACATCTATATTTTAATCAATTAGGCTTATTCCATTTAGTCAACAGTTTTATTCTAGGCATTGCCTACCTCCAGGCCTGGTAAATGGTAGTCAAGCTAAATTTTGTATTAGGTTATATTATCTAACTACCAGCAAACTCTGACTACATAGAAATATATATGTATAGTTTGTGCATGTTAATGTTAACCCTAATCAAACAAGTCACCAAATAAACTGAAATATATCTGTGGTTAAATATTTTTTCTCTCCCAGAACAAGTGAAAAATTAAGGTAATACAGCAATTGTTACCCTTATTTAACACACTCTTACAGAACCATGAGTAGTCACAAGTACAAACACAAATTTGTGATAGGTCATAAGTTGTCTCACTCTTTCAGCAAACAAAAATAGCCACTTTTGCACTTATTATGACACATTTACACTTATTATGACACATTTACACTTATTATGTGCAAACACAGAGAAAGTATTGTGATCAGTACTATCATGTTGGTATAGTTGTGATTCTTATGGGCTATAGTGGCTGAATAAGAAGAAACTACAGAAGCACATTCTCAAATGACATTTATTTTCCACCTCTTCCATAATCCAGAACTGGAAGGTCACTCTTACAATTATAAAATAACTGGCCAAATTACCCACATCTTGCTGTGTCACACATTTTTCTTTTAAGAAAATGATGATTGTTTTTAAATCATTGTTATAATTTGAGGAGAAAAATGATGCATTTCAATATTACTCAATGATCTTGCTGATGTGACCTCCATCTTCTGGCTCTCTCCTTCTATATTTTTGATAATTTATTCCCTTGTTCAAATTTAAATTTAATTTAAATCAAAGGGAAAAAAAGATTTCAGTTGTTGGTGCAGAAACAGTTTGATTTGACCCTTTTGATATGTATTTGATGCAATACTTGATTGAATAAATTGATGAGCAGATTCCAACATTGATATGACAGTTGAATTCTTGCAATAAATATGTATTGTAATGCATTACCCACTGATTGATAATTTCTTGCTCATCTTTATATCCATATTGTCTGATTTTGATTGTGCTGATGTGACCCCTATCTTCTAGCTTTCTCCTATATTTTGGATAGGAGTCATTCACTTGTTCAAATTTAAATTTAATTTAAATCAGAAGGAAAAAAATTTCAATGAGGGGTTTGTGCTCCCTGGTGGTCCCCTTTGATCAAAATGAAATATGCTTATCGAAGTACCCTGGGTAATGTGGTTTCAGAATATATATGATTATTGGGTCTATCTCCAAAACCCTAGGAGGAGTTTGATGACAAAAAGAGGCTACAACTTATATATATATATATATATATATATATAGAGAGAGAGAGAGAAATAATTACTTTACAGTCATTTCTGGTTTATGTCTTGCCTCCCTTCACACATGCCATTGTCAATGATAAACTAAGGAAATGGTGATGGAAATTAAAATTTCTATTCTTCAACTTGGTCATATCACACTATACTGTCAAGTAAAAATAATGTTTAATATGAGCCTCTGAGAGCCACCAGTAACCCTTATTTCTAACTGAATGCTTGTTCTGTCAATTGTCTGCAGCATAGTTGTTTACTTCTTTTTTCATTTTCTGAATTGGTCATAATTAATTCTTTACAAATTTTCTTACAGTTTTATCCATTTTGAAAATAAAAACTTCACTGCTCTGAGTTTAGACAATTTCTAAACCCACAAAAATATTAAACAAATTTTAGATGAATTTATGCAGGATTCTTATTTGGAATATACTGTATTTGAGCTTGATAACATTGTATGTGTTTATGAGAGTGAAATGAAAGATATGGAAATTAATTTGAGATTACATTTTTATGGTCTGTTTAAGTATTGGGTGTATCAAAAGTATTTTCAATTTTTAATCAACTGTTTGTTTTTTAAGCTTATGTAATGCTATGATATCTTTTATAACACTAGTGCTTTTGAAAGTTTTTAGTGCTGATGTATTGGGTTCTCTTTTACCTTGTATTCTAAAGCATCATAACAACAAACAGTTGTTCACTTCTGATTTTTATTTCAAGGGACAAATCACCAATCTTAAAATGCTTAAACCAGTTTTGAGCAGTGTTGTCAGATCATGTTTCAGTTTCTTCTACTTCCCAAATTCTTAAAGGTTTTTCTTGATTAGTTTAAAATAATACTTTAAATCTTATGTCTGCCATTATTACATCTGAAACAAAAGGTACAACTAAATTGAACTTATATATGATATTAATAAAATAGTGGTGTCATAAACAGTCTTTAAATGTGTACATGAAATAAGTATGTAGCAAATGTCTGTAAAAAGCAAAAATATTTTTGATACAGCCTTATATAAATATTAAAATGGATGAAAAAGAGGATTTATGTTAAAAATCTTCTAATGTCATATTTTCCAGTGATGCCATTGGAGACTTCTCTATAGACAATGTGGCGAAGATAGGGTTTATATATTTTCTATTGCGCTATCCGGAAAGTTCATGCCAATTTTTAAGGGAAATTAAAACACAAAACAAAATTATGCCATTAAATATTTATTCAACTAAATATGAATCATTTTGTTGCACAATCTTTCTCCATTTTTCCTTCAACTAAAAGTTTCCATTTTCCCAGAATTTTGGTGGTTTCTTGGCAAAGAACTCATTAAGGTGATTTTTTTTATGTCATCCAAAGAATTAAAATTTTTGCCAGGACTTGAATAATTGAAAATCTGAAGGAGCAATATCTGGTAAAAATGATGGGCGGGGTAACACATCCTAGCCAAGCTGCAACAATTTTTACTGGGCCACCAAAGAAATCTGGCACTACCCTGATGGAAAACAACACCTTTCCTATTCACTAATTCTGGGTGTTTTTCTTGAATTACTGCCTTTAATTTGTCTAGTTGGGAACAGTACTTTTCAGAATCAATTGACTGGTTACTTGACAAAAGCTCATAGTACAGGATTCCTTTCCAATCCTACCAGATGCACATTACAATTTTCTTAGGAGGAATATCAGCTTTTAAGGTGGCTAAAAATGACTTGTGTCACTTACTCCAGGATCTTTTTCACTGAACATTGTTGCAAACGATCCATTTTTCATAATCCATTACAATGAGTTTATACAACAGATCACAGATGAAATGCAATCCAAAAGATTCTTTTCACTCAGATCATGTGGTACCCAAACATTGTAATGATTTGCATACCTAAGCTTCACTAAGTGCTCATGGATGGTGGATTTTGATAAATTTAGTGTTTCTGCCAATTCCTGTGTTGTGTAATGCAGGTTATTCTCAATCAATGTCTTGATTTGGTTGTCATCTGTAGTGGAAGGTCTGCCTGAGCATTCTTTGTCAATAAGGCTATAATCACTAACTCTAAACTTAGAGAACCACTTCCATACAGTTCTGTCAGCTAAAGCATGTTCGCCATTCACATTACATATCTTTTTTGTTGCTTTGCAAGGCATTTTGGCTTTATGGTAAAAAAAATCAAATGTCTAAAAAGCACCTTATGATCTTCCATTTTCATAGGGATGCAAAATTGACACAAATTAAGTAATTTTAATCTTTCTTTCTCAAAAGATAGTTTGAAGTGTGCTCTATTTAGAAATGTAAACAGATTATAACTGTCGATAAATTTTATGTTTTCTAACATGTTGGAACATGAATGACTAAAAATTAGCATGAACTTTCCAGACAACCCTTGCCTTTTCCTAAATATTATTCCCTTTCTGTTTTACAGTGGAAGACGCAGGTGGGAAGAGTTTTGCTTGTGTTGTAGATATACGCAGTGAAGATCAGGTAGAGAAAGCAGTTCAGGAAACTGTGCGTAAATTTGGTGGAATTGATATTCTGGTAAACAATGCTAGTGCCATCAGCCTGACTGGAACTTTGCAGACCTCAATGAAAAAATATGATTTGATGAATGGAATCAATGCAAGAGGGACTTACCTCTGGTAAGTTTTATCAAGTGTCATCTTGAACATGTATTTTGTTATTTTGATACAGATATGTACAAAAGAAATTAGTAGTACTTCCTGTTATTAATTCTTAATACTTTGTTGAGTTTTAAAAGTTTTTTCTTTTCTACTTAGAAGTGAGAGATTATTCATAAGGTGCAAAGTACAAACAAGACTTGAAATTTTGTAGTGAAACTTAACAAAATTTATACTTATTAACAAGACATTAACAAACATAATACAAAATGCACAAATACGTTTGCACAAATTTTCCTTTTTTTGTGCACCTTATTATTATTAAGACAAGATAACCAATTCAAAAAAGTTCTTAAAGCCGATAAAAGTTTTTCAACAAAACTTTCAACAATCAAAACATCTTTTGAGAAGGTAGAACAATATATATTCTTTAAAAAAAAGAAACTTATTTGAAAATTGAAATTGAGAAGGTTGTCAGATTCTCCAGAGTTCCTGTTTTTAAGAACTTTGGAGAACCTTCTGACCTCTCTATCACCCTATTAGTCTCCTACCACAATTTTGGCAAAGTATTCAAAGCTTTAATTGATGCTGAAATGGTTAAGTAGCTTATCTCTCTTGCTACAGTATTACCGAGCAATTGTTTGGTTTAATGCAATCATTCCTATCAAATTGTGAAACAAAGGTTGTTTCACGCAAATGCAGATGTCTCCCAAGGCTCTATCCTGGGTCCTATGCTGTTTCTGAGCTTCATCAATGATTTTCCTGATGTCATCAGTTCCCAAATAGGCATTTATGCTGTTGACACTACCATTTACTCCTGTCTCAATAGCAAATCTGACAGAGCTAACCTGGCTGCTGCTGTTGAAAAGAACCACCAACCTGTGGTTAACAAGGGCAGGAAATGGCTTGTAAATTTTAATGCCTCCAAAGCTAAACTGCTCTCATTTAACCACCATAGAGAAACTTTCCTGCCCGCCATCAGCATGGCTGATGCTAGACTCATGGAGAGTAACACACTGCACCTTTTTGGCCTCAACCGACTTGAAGTGGAATGCCTACATTAAATCAATAGCTGCATCTACTGCAAGGAAAGCTGGGTCACTGTATTGTGCCAGAAGGTTTTTCTCGTAGGAATCCATCTTGCACATTTACAAATCTACCATTCGTCTGTGCATTGAATACTGTTGCCATATGTGGTCTGGTGTTCCTGCTACTCATCTCGAGGTTCTTGACAAAATCCAAAGCAGGATCTGCAATGTAATAGATCCTGCTTTAGTATCTTGACTTCGGTCACTTTCTCATTTATGTGATGTGGCTTCCCTCTGTCTTTTCTACAAATATTTTCATGGCAACTGCTCTGATGAGCTTTCTTCCCTGGTGCCTGGATTATGCGAGTTTAAGCGTGCTACTAGATTGGCATGTAGGTCCCACCCTTTTACTGTTGAAGTAGTTAAATCTAATTGTTACTTTTATTCTAACAGTTTCTTTGAAATTCCCCTCAGTTTTCTTGCTCCACTGATAACTATAATCTTCAAAAATTTAAATGCAACATCAACTGCCATCTTCTATTCTCTTGAACCCCATTCAGGTTTTATCCTTTTCTCGGTCCTCCCTGTACCCAATCTTTTCTCTCACCTTCACTCTCTGTAATCCTCTGCGTACTAGTAGCTTTCCCGCCTTGCTTGGAGTTAAATGATTAAAAAAAAAACAAATAGCCTGTATTTCAAAATCCGAAAAAAATCTGAAAACTGAAGCACTTCCAATCCAAAGAATTTGTAGTTACAGGGTTATACAAGGGGAATAATTCATATATTCTAAATAGGAGTTATATCCCTTGTATTTTCATTTAAAAAAAAAAATCAAATGTGTTTCTCAAGGACAATTGTTCAGAAAAGAAAGCAGTCTTCATTGTAGTTGTAGGAAGATCTTGATTATCTAGAAAATCAATATTTGAAATCCTGGACTTTAATATTGACATGTAACATTGGTAAAAAATATTATTTCCCTTACGAGACAGCGCCCAATCCCCCCCACCACACACACGAAAACACTATTATTTTCAAATAATGAACAAAAAGTTTCTGTGCTCTTGCAAGATGTTGATTGTGATTTTGGTACTCAATAGTTTTCTTTAAATGTGTTTTCAGATCTTTAAATTATTGAAGACAATAATTAAAGCCTTTAATTTACATCTTTGAACTGGATACAAAGCTACTTGATAATAATTATTTTTGGCTAGTATTGTATTTGTTTTCATTTTAATTTTTTTATTGCAACTTTATAAGGATAAGCTTTTGATGAGAATAGAACTCGTGTTTCTTTTGCCTTTATTTCTAATCTGTGCAGTCTACTCACTGCTGTAAAATTGATGGTCTAACTAACGCAACTAAAAAATTAAGATGACAGCAAATACTAGACAAAAAAATTAATAATGCCTGATAATGTTTAATATGATAAATAATAATAAATAATACTGCTGTTTGATAATGTTTGGTGCTGAGAACATTAAATTTGAAAAAGATGATCTGTTAATCATTGGTCAATAATTAATCTTAAAATTTTGATTGTTTTCCTGTATGTCTTTGCATGACTATAGTATGCTGTCCTTAGTTTTATCACCATACACTTCTACTCTTGTTAATCAAACTGAAAATTGGTATCAGTAGTCAGTTCCTTGTATGTGCTGTGTCCCTTCAGGATGTGGGTAATCATGGCACAACATGATTTCCAATATCCTTTGTAGTACTTAGCAATGAACTATTTTTACTATTCCTCCCTATTCCTTGTTCTGCCATCCATTTACACAAGCTTGTTAGGTAGGCTACTCATATTTCCCTCTGGTTTTCAATATGTCCTGTGAATATCAAATTCTCCAAACCATCTTTTCTCATATCTCTCAGAAATTTCAACTCTCTCTCTCTCTCTTTGATTCTAAGTATAAATGTTATTTTTGTTTTCATTTTCATTAAAACTTCTTCATACTAAGTGCATGGTATTCTTATCATCCTTCTGTAGAACCACATCTCTGTTGCCTCGAATTTCCTTTTCATCTGTGAGGAAATTGTTCAGTAATCACTACCATATAGGACGGCTGATATCACATAGCAGTTCAACACACTTTACTTTTGTTTAGAAAAAGAAAAACACACAAATATACTTTTTTCTTTTTTTTCCCTTTTAATAATTGAAATCAGACTGAATTTTTCCCTGTTGTTGGGGCTTTAAATACATTAATTGTATCTCCTGCAGCATATGTAAACTAAACACCTCAAATCTACAAAAGGGTGGATGTTTGCATATTTAAATATAACTCTGACTATTCATAGACTCAAGTATAAACCTGATTAATGTTTACTTATGAGCTCAAATATAAGCTTGACAAATATTTACCTACAGGCTCAAGTGCAAACCTGACAATTTTTACCTATAGGCTCAAGTATAAAAAAAGAAAAGAAAAAAAAGATTTCAACATATAATAACCCAACACAGATTGATATGTTATAAAATTCACCAACCAGTCCCACCCTACTCAAGCTGATTTCTTGTGGTTTCTCAGTTTCTATAAACTGAATGCTGGAATATTTTAATTTTTTAAATTTGTTTTTATTATTTGATATTTACTTTAGTTTGTCTGACACAAGTATATATGTATAGGCCACACAGTAATAATCAAATTCATGAAACTGGCCTTCTAACCCCTGTTCTATGTCAACGTTCCATAGTACTTTTATTTAGTTCAATGAAGTAATGCTAACATGATGATTTAAATTGATTTCTTTCATTTTCAGTACATTATGTACATTATTATTATTACTTTCAGTTCTCATATGTGTATTCCACATTTGCTGAAATCTTCAAATCCACATATACTTAATATCAGTCCCCCTCTGAATATGAAACCAAAATGGTTCCAAAATCATGTTGGTAAGTACTGATTTTTGCTTTGAATAAAACTTAAACTTTAAGTAGTTGTGTTGATAGTATTAGATTTACCATTAATTACTTTTTTATATCATCATCTTTTTTCTTTCCTATCATCATCATTGTCTTTACTTACATTTCTTGTTAATTATATTGAGATCCTCTTTGACTCCTAGATGTGTCAGCCAGCTGATAATGGTCATATCTTAGTTCCTGCTTGCAGCTTAGAAACACAACATCCTTAGCACATAAGTAGCACTGCCACATATACACTCCCAATGATATCAGGTATCCCAAAGGCATCTTGTGAGGCAGAATTATTATTTCCTATGACCTATGAATGTTGGGTATCATGGAATCTTTTTGGGAAATGGAATTTACTTGATGTAGCTTGTCTTCTCTTCAAGTAACATCCAACACATTGTACTGGGTTACAGAGTACCAACTGAAAGTAATGTTGCCTGACCTACAAATAGTTGAATGTCCAAGATGAATTGCCTTTACAAGGTTAAAGAGCTCCAATTGCCCTACTATTTATCTATAGCTGGTGGCAGAAGTACATTCATGCCCTCCTTAAGAGCATTAGTACAACCAGAGTTTGAACTTGATATCATTTCTCGTACTACCTGCATCACTCATTATTATTTTTGTATTTACTCATTTCCATAATCATCATTATTATTACCTTTACTCATATCCCTCATTATTATCAGTACTGTTTTTATTTATTTTAAACATAATCATTTTTATTATTATTACTATTGTGGTGTTACCTCTACTTACTTTCCTAAAAGAAAAACACCACTAGGGGTGCTCCTTAAGCTTATAAATAGGCAGTAACATTCTCTATCATCCTTTCTTTCCGTTATTTTTCTCTAGCTTTCAGATGTAGTTGCACATAGATAAGAACGCTGCCACTGAGGCGCATTCACTTCCCTTGATCCTCTGTTGACTTTTGAACTCTCTCACACACATGCATTTATATATGTCTATCACACATGCTTATTACACTTACTTCTACACAAACACCTTCACTAGTTTAAATGTTTTCTTCTTTCATGTTAATTGTTTTGTAACATGCAACAATCTTTTATTGTATATGTATACAGATGTTTTGCTAATACATGTTTATCATATATATATATATATTTGGTATTTATTACCCAGACTCACATTCCAAGTCGGTGATTTTTATTGTGTGAAAAATATATCAGAAGACATGTGTTTTCCACCTAAACACTCAACCAGCGTATATCATCTTATTTTTATCATTATTATCGTCATTATATAAAAAAAAAATATGATTATTCACTTTTAGCATATACAATGGCCAAATATGGAATGTCAATGTGTGTTTTGGGCATGGCAGGAGAGTTAAAATCACAAGGAATTGCAGTGAATGCTTTGTGGCCACGAACAGGTAAGAATTGGAAACAAATTGCATTAGTTTCTAGTTTTTGTTTAAATGTTTGGGTTGTAGCAATAGAATTTTGATGTTATAATAATAAAATCATGTTAGATCACAAATGGGGAATAATCCTAATTAAAATTTTGTTTATTTTCTATATTTACTAACATTATCCATAATAAGAATTGTCAAAATGACTAAACTAATAAGAGAAATGGTTACAAATTGTATGTCAAACAGATCTTTGGTTGATAAGTTGTTGTATACTTTGTGTATAATAAAATTATAAAATATGTATGTTGGAAATCAATTGACTGAAATTGCCTGAAGATATGAAAGGTTGAAACCAAGGAAGCGAATTGGCTGTTCTAATTTTTTATACTTAAAAGCTCTACATGTTAAATTTTTATCTTTTTTTAGATGTGTATTGAGCACTTTTTAATACTACTATTTCCTGTTCTAATTCAACTCTCTCTCTCTCTCTCTCTCTATATATATATATATATATATATATATATATATATATATAGAATATTTTTATTGTAAGAGATTATAATAAACACATTTTGCATTGCTGCACAAAAGCTTTCATGTTTTAATACTATGATTGTGCTTCCTCAGGTGATGATCGGTAATGCGTGTGTGTGTGTGTGTACATATATATATACATGCACACTGGGTGTAACAGCAAAATTATCCAAATCATGTTACAGCTTCAGATAATTGTCCATCCCACAAACTGTTTAATATCTAAACAACTACTAAACTGAGTTTCTTTTTTCCAGGTTTTCAGAATAGATGTTTAGCCATCTTGACACCATTTGTCATAAGAATCACTGAAAAACCCTTTGAGTTATTCACCTAGAAAGAGAACAGGTTAAAATCATTTTGCTCAGCTTCACTATGTCTTCTCAAATGAGCAATGGTGAGAAGAAAATAATCATTCAGGCCTTCAATAATGGTACTCTTCAAAGTCCATCAAGAACCATCAAGGGAATGGTGAATAAGTTTAAAAAGAGAGGGAACAGTAGAGAGGAAAATTGGATCAGGAGGTCACAAAGGAAGAGAGATCATCATTTCAATTTAGAGTTAGATACATTGTTATTGTTCAAAGTAGAGTCCAATAGTGTTGTAAAAACCTCAGAGGATTCTAGTAAGATATCTTTAATCTTTTCTAAGATACAACAGTTCAAAGCTTAATCTAACAATTGAACAATTTTGCTGTTGTATGATTTGTACAATTTTGCAGTTACACCTAATATATATATACACATACATATATGTGTGTGTGTGTGCACGCTCTTATTTGAAGTTATAGATGAAATTTGATGAAATGATTGAATAAGAAACAAGTATGAAAACCTTTGTAAATTTAATATTTCTCTATTATTTAGCTTCATCAAAAAATATTTTTAGAAGTCCCTCAAAACTTCTGATATGGCTCAATAAATAGTAAAATATATTAAATTTATTAGGGTTTTATTACTTGTTCCTTATTTTATCATATATATGAACTCTGATCAAATATGGATTAGAATGATAGAAGGAACATTTATAAATTTAACATGTTTCCCATTTATTTACATTTCATCAGAAATCAAATATGGAAGAGAAAATAAAAATTTTGGTATTTTTTATTTTTGTGTTTATTTTTCATTGGTTAAGTAGCCTTGCATCATGGAGTCTAGATAAAGAAGATGTGCCTTCTAACAGGGTTTGGACCTAGCTTGTAGAGGAAATTACTGTCAAGCCTGGCATGTTCAAATTTATTTTTATCTCATTTTTCATTTATGTATTTCATGGGTTTTTTTTTTTGGGTTTTTTTTTTTTTTTCAGCCATCTACACTGCTGCAATGAAAATGCTGGGCGGTGGTGAAGAAATTGCTAACCAGTGTCGAATTCCAGACATTGTGGCTGATGCTGCTTATGTCATTTTAACCAAAGACAGCAAATCTTTTACTGGAAATTTCTGTATTGATGATAATATTCTAAAAGAAGCTGGTGTGACAGATTTGGAAAAATATTCCTGTGTTCCAGGTAAAACTTTTTTAATTTTTCTGAACATGACACAGATGCAAGTTCCCAGTCATTGAAATTTTTAATCTAACCATAATTTAATCAGATGATTTAATTCAGATTATCTATTTGTTTCTTTTTCTTTGATATCTGTTGATATATGCATATTAATGTTTTATTGCAACATGTGATCATCTTTCTTTTGTCAATATCATAGGATCTATAAATACAACTCAGTCTGAATTCCTTTATATATTGAGTCATAATTTCTGTTTTTTTTTATCATCTTTATTCTTCAAAATATTATAGTTGGTTCCCCAAAATGGAAATTACTTATGAATTAACCTAATAGAAAAATAGAAGAAATTGCACCTATTAATATTTATTGAATCTTGCTGAGTGTTTATGGAGACCAAGCAATGGATGTGAGCACAGTTAGGTGGTGGGTAATATGTTTCAGCAGTGATCATAGCAATATATGTGAAAATTTGGCATGTCTCCATTGTTTTAGAGTTTTAGGAGTGTGGCATATGGGCTCTTTTTGATTGCTAGTGAAAATGCATAGACTATGTGGAAAATGTAAACTTGCTCTATCCACAGGTGTTATTATGCTTTCTGTACCAAAGTTGTAGTATATAAATAGGAGGCATTATTTATATATAGAGAGAGAAAAAGAGAGAAGTACATACAATGGTGAATCAATCAGTCTGTCATCTGACAATGTAGTTAGCAGAATTTTTACTGTATAAGATTCAGTCTGTATGATTAATATTCAACAATGAGTTATTTGTATTGACAGGGAATAAAATTATGTTGGAAAATATTTGTTGTGCAAAAGAAACACTTTTTTTCATAATGAACTTAGCTGCTTATTCTCCATGAGTGTCCAGGTTTTGAATACCAATTCTGAATGTAAACAAATACTTTCTGCTTGCAAGATTGCCACAACACAATTACACATATTGTTAATCTAGTCCTATTATTAACTAATCAGAAATTTAATGATGGAATAAAGTATGTCAATTCTTCTGTAGGTAAAAATTCTTGAAAAGTAATAAGATTTCTTCATCACTTGTAGAATACCATTTTCAAATGAGCTTATTTCAGTTATATGAATTCATATAAATCATATTTCTAAGTTTTTACAATTCGTTGTGTGTTCTCACTTTTTTCAGGAGCAACTTTGATGCCAGATTTCTTTTTGGATGTTGAAGATTTTGCAGCTGAGAAAGAGGAACCTTCTACAAAGCAGCAAAGCCAGTCAATCACAGGAAGTGGGGAAACAGTTAAGACATTTCAGTCAATAGAAAAAATGTTGACTGAAGATTTAGTCAAATCCATGGGTGGAGTCTTTATATTTAATTTGACTGGTGAGTCATTATCTTTCAGTAGAGCTTGATATGTGTTGAAGCAAAATATTCTTAATTATGTCATGCAATTTTGATATTTTAATATTGGAAAGTATCTCTCCTAAATCAGGACCTGATCTATATGTATCTATATGTATGACATAACAACCAAGTAAGAAATAAATAGGACAGATTGTCTAAAACTTACTGTACATCACTAAGCTATGGAAAATGTTTCTTACCAAAACTCATGTTTGGTGAACTGATTTAACTTATTTCAAATCAGAGATTAGGACCATCAAAATGTAGATAAATAAATGAACATAACACCATACTTTATTTCCAACAAATGGTACACTATAAACAATCAATCCAAATGATATTTTGATGCTGTGCTGTGTAAATGATGATGGGAGTAGTGTATATTGCCACTATCATTTAGGGTCTTATAGTGTTTATAGGTAATGTAATTTAGTGCAACAAATATATCTGGCTTGACTTTGTGTCAAATGAATGGAATGTCATGTGGGGAGAGTTTGTTTTAATTATATTGAATTTTTTAACCTGCTTTTTTAAGTACTTTGTTAAATAAATTTATGAAACAGGTTAATTTATGTATTGCAGTTTATTATAAGCAAAAAAACTGATAGGATGGATATTTTGATTGTAACTGATTTGTAAAGAAGATTTTTTTCCTTTTAAAAGATTTTATGATGAATGAATTGGGCTTTATGATAACAATAAACTTATTCTTTTTATGTCTTTATAGTCTTTTCTAAAGTGTATAAGATGTTGGTTTTCATTAAATCTTACTATCTTATTTCCTCATATATCATGTCTTGTCAGAATATGTGTGAACATGGCTCTCCACAGTTTCCAGTCTTTTTTTGCTCTAAGTAATTCTTGCCTTTTACTACTTCACTTTGTCTTTATGGCCTTTGTTTTGCCAAAATCATCATTCAGGTTACTTGGTGCTTCCCATTTCTTCACTTGCTTTCAATACGTTCTAGAAATCTGAAATTCTCCAAACCTTTCTTTCTTTGTGTCCCAAAATTTCAACTGTCTATTTCCTATTCTCCTTAAAACTTCATCATTATTCACATGCTCTTTTCATGGTATTCTCATCATTTTTCAGTAAGACCACATCTCTGTTGCTTAAAGTCTCTTTTTTTCTAGCATTTACTGCCATGTAGGAGATTAGATATTATATAGCAGTTCAGCATTCTTTTCTTTGTTTTTAAGGACATTTCCCTATTCCTTAATACTTTACTTAGTTTCTGGAAGACAGAAACTTTCACTATTCCTATATACTTTTTAATTTTTGTGTCATATTTTCCATTATCTGTTACTACACTATTCAGGTAGTTAAATTTCTGCACCTGCTTGATTTTAACATCTCCAATATGTAGCTTAATACTTAGGCTGTCTCTTTTTATTGACAATCTGTCTTCTTACAATAAATGGTTAGTACTTCCTTCTTTCTTTCCTTAAATAGCTTGTTCAATTTATACTTTCAGTTTTCTTTCTGAATTTGCCATCAACACAGTGTCATAATACATCAAATTTCTTTCTATAATGTCTAACTTTTTGCTCTATTAGTTTTATCTCACTTACACTGGCAGTTTATTTCTATATTTAAAGATTAACTTATGAAAAGTCTAATAATCTGATGTCCTTAATAAAATATACTCTCATTTTTTATGTTATAGGTAAACTAAAGTTTTTATAATAAACAACCTGTCTAGAAGGAGGACAACTCTGAATTTAAGACTTGGCCACCTGAAAATGTACAAGATGGTTAAACATAAGATGCTGATAGTGCCTGTAACACAAAACATGATAGATTTCAACAGCTATTAATAATCCTACTGAAAAGCTGTTGGCACTAATGGGTGTTGGGCCCAAGGAAAATGGTTGAGTTGGTTGATTTACTGTACATAATGCTTAGGTCACATACATTTAATGACACAATAAAGAAACAAAAGTAGGTTCTTTATTTTCCTTTCATAAAATACATGTACAAACTTGGTTGAAAACTCGCTTTGAAACAAACCCTTTTCTTCTCTGTCTTGAATGTTAACATATTTTCTGTTAATTTAAATTATATCCATAAATGTTTAACAGCCTGTTTTTATCTCCTAAGACTACAAACTTTGTTTTGGCTTTAAAGACAATCTTTTATTGTCTTTTCCTTTGGTTCACACACACACACACACTCACTGAATCATTAGCTTGCTGTCTTGTTTCTTACCTTCACTATCTTGACTTTCATGTAAAATGTCTGGATAATTATTGACACTATTTATATTTGGACTATTGTCTGCATCTTTGTAGTTATCACAACAAGGCCACTATCATTAAGTGATTGTCCTTGTGATAACAAAGACAAGGACAATAATTCAAATATAAATAGTTTAAATAATGATAACTCCTCATCACAGAAATTCAGACAGAAATGTTTGGTTAATTTAAGGAAGAAGCATGCTGAACACAATGATAGCTAATTTCATTTTTGTTCTTTTCAAAATCTAATCTACAGAAAATATTTAGATAAAATTTTGAATAGTGATAACTGCCATCTTTAAAACATAAAGGGTGCTTATATTTAGAATCAGAAAGAGGCAGTTGAACAAAAGAAAAGGTAGTTATTTGTAAAAAGCAACCACACACATGCTTGAATTTCTATTAGTTGTTTTTTTTAATAAAAGAAACTAACATATTTAAATATTAGATCACAGAGGATGTTGGGTTACTGAGTTCTTAGTAAACTATAGAATCTATATGAAATTTCTGGGACACATAATGAGAAAAGAGAGCTTGGAGAATTTGACACCCACAGTACATACTTAAGGCAAGTGAGATAGAATGGTAGTGGGTCACCTACCTGACATGCTTATGTGAATGGATGACAGAACAGGGAGTAGAAACTTATGGTGAAGAGACAAATATTGCTAAAAGCTACAAAGGATAGAAAGTTGTGGAGAGCTATGATCACCCACATCATGAAAGCACATGGCACATAGAAGAATTAAGCTCATACTAGCTGCCATATCTAGTTATTTTATTTCTTCAAGACAAAATTCATTCTTTTTATGTATGTTCTTGTGTTTCCTTATCAAATGTTTTTGTTTATTTTATTGATTTATTTATTTTGTGATTCCTGTAGGTGGTGAACCTGGAGAATGGTATCTTGATATGGTTACAGGAAGAGGAGAGATTGGTCAAGGAGCCCACCCACATGGCAAGAGTAATGTGCACATGTCAATGACGAGTGAGGATTTTAATAAAATGTTTCAGGGGAAACTGAAACCTACTATGGCTTTTATGAGTGGCAAACTTAAAATCAAAGGTGATATGGGAATGGCAATGAAGCTTGAGAAACTAATGGGGAAAATGCAAGCCAAATTATGAAACTAATTCAAAAATTATGAAAATGAATTATATATTTTTGTGATATTTTTTAAAAGCTTGTTTCATATTTTGAATAAACTTTCTATGAATCCTTTCACAGTTTTTTTTCTGATTATAGAAAACCACTAGAACTAAATTAATTTCTGTAATAAATTTATCTATGGGTAGTAAATTGTAAATTGTTTGGAGGATTCCTTATGTTTATTTTAGGTGATGTTAGAATGGTCATAACATTAAACACACCTTATTAATGATTATTACTAAGTTGCCCTGTTGAGACGAAACAGTACAAAAAACAATAAAATCTTTTAACTTTATTAATAAAAAGTATTTTGTTTATTATTATTTAGGTTATCATGTGGTAATAAATAAATAATTTTCTGCTTCACTTTAATAGTAGACACACACACACACATACATATATATATATATATATATATATATATATATATATAAAAGTGAACATTGAAGTCAACAGAGACAACAGGCTGTTTCATGCTAGACGCAATCATCAGGCCACCTGTTTCACCCTAGATGTAATCGTCAGGTGGCCTGACGATTACATCTAGCATGAAACAGCCTGTCGCCTCTAAGTGTTGACTTCAATGTTCACTTTTATATTTACAGACACTCTATCTCTGATATTGAGCACTTTATTCCATAAATATAGCACACCTTAAGAGTATATTTCTTCCTATATATATATGTATGTGTTTTTTAATCATTTTACCACAAGCAAGGCAATAAAGCCACAAAGATGCAAGGGATTACTGAGAGTGAGAGAATATGAGAAAAAACACTATTAAGGAGATGGAAAAATTAAAGAACAAGAATTAAGAAGAGAGAAGATAATGATTGATATTGCATTTGGAATTTTAGAAGATCAAAGTTGGAAGGAAGGATCTTTACAAGAGTCAGATCAAACCAGAAATGAAATATTACTGCCATATCTGGGCTGTTTTTTCAAAATTCTTGCTTTCCAGCCTTGATAGCACTTAAAAGTATTTATGAAGCCTTTTGGGTGATTAATTATTTTTAACACTATAACCTTTTTCTCACACTCAAAATGTCACAAACCTATCTCCAATCTATTGCTATTTCTATAGCAAATCTTCAGATTAGCTACATTTCTTGGTTCCACCAGTTCAAACCTTTACAACTAAGATCCACCATACCATGTCCACACAGGATTGATTTATCTTCATTCCTGTTATATTCCATTGGTAAGAAGGAATTTTTACTTTGACAACTTCTTTCTGAGAATCACTACTTTGTGGAACAGACTACTACTTACCATCATAATCTGCACTTAATTCCTACGCTTACATCTATACAACAACATATTTCAGTAATACTCTACCTTGAGTGGCACTTGAACCTTGTGTTGGGTGAACATGTAATAAAAAAATTATCAATTTTTTGAAAAATGAATAATTTAAAAAAAAAATTATTTTCTACAAAAGACTTAATACAGTCAAAAATTTAAAATGATACTTGCAAAATGATGTCAGGAAAATATGTTGTTTTAAAAACAAATTAGAATCATTTTCTCATCTGTTAAATAGTTGATTTGAACTCGTACACATGATGAAACTAATATTATGCCAAAAAAGAAAACTTTGCTTTTATATTATTTTTTTTACATTCACCCCACAAAAAATATATTTCTCTTTCTGCTATTAAAACCAATGTAAAAATTATATTTTTCAAATCTTTCATAATAAATCATCATTGGCTAATAATTATTGCTATTTTGTTGTCTTTTGGTTTATTATTAGTCTCTGACTTTTGCTTTGAGGAAGAGGATAAAATAATATATATATATGGTATAAAAAAAAAGAAGTAAAACATTAACAGGGGAGGTAATTCAAACGTTCAAGTAAACTTTTTAAAGGATCTTGTTTGAAAATTTTGCTATGATGCAGTGGTTAGCAAGCTAGTCTTACAGATAATTAATTTATTTTAAAGAAAAAAAGAAACACAAGTGTAAGAAATCCAATAAAGATCAAAATCACTAAATTAGTAATTATCTGTAAGACTAGTTTGCTAACCACTGTGTCATAGTGAAAAACTGGATCTTTATGAAATATAACTTGAACCTTCTAATTACCTCCCCCTGTTAATTCTTTTCCTTTTTATTTTTTAAAAATTTTTTAAAAACCACATTGTGTTTTGGAGTAAAGAGTACCCCCCCCCCATTGACTCGGTGAACTCAGTCAATAATATAAAGAGTTCCATGGTATTAGGTCATTGACAGTCATATTGCAGTCAGTCTTCATACCAAATATACAGGCATTACGGCAATAGCCTAAGCCTTATATATAAAGAATTAAGTATAAGTGTGTGTTATAACAATAATCCTACAATAAAGGAGTCATAATAGTTGATGAGGAATGCAAACACAAGTGCCGGATAAAATCACATTATAACTGAAGTTATAATAGTTGGCAATGAGTATCTCTAAACCTAGTGCCGCATTATAACTTCAGTTATAATAGCAGGCAACCAGGTATTTGAAACTCAAGCATGTCTTAACAGTCACCATATTATAACTGGAGTTATAATATTTAATGAGGATTTTTGAACTTTGTGTGTGCAACAAGATTTATAAGCATTTCAACGACATTGGTTTAAAATAAAAAAAGATTTCTTGCAGATATGGAGAAAATTTTGGTCTCAATGGTTGAAATTCAACAACAACAACAAAATATCTAACAGTTGCTACTGTTGCAAAAACAACAACAAGAGTTGTTGGAAATAATTTTTAAGAAAAATTCCTCACTATCTCTTACACCAGATACAGTGCAAGACACCATATCAGAATTTGTATTCAATTCTCATGATGGACTGACTTTTGCTGTGTATTTTTGCAGACATGAAGAAATAGAGAGTCAGGAATATAGCAGCTGGGAAGATGATAAAAAAATCAGGTTGTTGTTAGGAAAAATAGCTCCAATAGAGTATGAAAGGTACAGCAATTATATTTTACTGAGGAAACCAGTAGGGTACCTCTGACAGTCAAATACCATGATCTGGAAGTATCATTAAGACCATAGACACACTTTCAGAGCTTCTAGAGACAATTACTGGGTACATTAGCTTCAGGAGTGGGGGCAAGGTAAACATTCCTTTCAAAATCATTACTTTGTAAAAAGGCAGTTTTTATGTTGATAGAGTTGCAAGTTCATCCTGAGGATGATATGATGGCTAAGACAATGCACAAACTTTCCTTGGAACTGTTGGAGGGAATCTGTACGAACAGTTTTGGCTCCTTTATCCTGAAATCCTCAAGTGATCAGTCTTGTTTTGATAACATGTCCCTTTGATGTCTCTTTTTCACTATATATCCCTCTGAACAACTATCTTGCTTTTTCCTCCATTCTGAAACCCCATTTTCAAAATCCAGCCAGAAAGTTCACTTTCTTCAAATGCTACATTCATAATGTGCTTATTTTTCTCAGTGGATTTACCATCTTTGCTAACGATTTTCATCCTCTGCCACTGAGATTCTTCATCATCTCCCAACTTGCACTATATGTCATCTGGTTTGGGAAGAGACACACAACCCTTCCTGGTTCCAAATGCAGCAACCTCCTCTTGTGGTGGATATCAGCACACCCCTTCCTTCTGTCAACAGTTGCCTCAAACCTTTTCTCTTTCTCTTTCCTTCCTTGTTGTTGCTACATTTTCAACATTATGGCACATGACCATTTTGGAATGAACACCTATTCAAAGTGGTTTGACGATTGGCATCTGCTGCCAGTCAAAGGTCACATGACTTATTGGATCCCCACAAAAAAGTACCCACGTGCAAGAGATGACCTGCGGGCATCGAGCCAGGAAGATGTGTTTTCTGTCTCTCTCTCTCTCTTCAGCATACGCTTCAAATACCTAGACTTCGCTGATAGACTTTTATAGTCAATTTCTTTGCCTGAAGCTACCTTTCATCATCCTTGACTCGATCTTAGCCCAACTTTCCAACCTTCCTACATAATACAAGATTCTCTTCCAAAAAGGAAAAGCAACAAGCATTTGTCATGAACCCTCAGTATCAAACGGACCTTACCTCCTGTCCAAGCAACAAGTAAGTCAGGAACCCACAAGTCTTCACATGTGGTATTTATATCTTCTGGATCTTTTCCTTTGGTCTATACTTCATTCTATGTGACAAACGTTTTCTTGCAACTTAAACTCGATGATTTTATCTTGGTCAAACTCGTGTCAGAGTCTCATAACCGATCAAGTTAATTCTGTCTCTTGATTCTTCTTCTTTTATCAAAATAAAACATTCATAGATAAAGTTGCCTCCCTTGTACCGTTAATTAAAAAAAAAGGAGATTCTTACAATTAATCTTTTCCACGTTTTGGCAACTTCCTCTTCAAGAACATTTGGCACCAACCATTATTATTTTTGGCATGTAACAACATTCGACCATCAACATCAACCTCACATTGCACAGATTTGCTGGACCACTATCCAGAAACCAGGAACTTGACACTGCATTCTTTCCTTTCTTCATCCTGTCAATTTGTTGTTAAAATAAACTTATATTTTGTTATGCCTCTCATACTTCATTCATGTTTGTTCGTTCTCTACCATTGCTAACCTTATTGCGAACCATTGATATTCTAAAGGAATATCAAATACGCTTACATGTGGGAGTCTGTTAGTCTGAGACAAGGCCATACACAAGAAACCTCACTAGATGACCAGTCTCCCCTTATAAGGACATCTGGACCCTGTTGAAATGTTAACCTCTTGTTCCTCTGGAACAGGTTGAAGGATATCTTCATCATCATTATATTGCTGTGGAGTGTAAGGAGAGGGAGGATAAGGAGTTTGCAGAGAATTATTTTGCTGTTTGTTGTAATTTTAAATACCACTAGAATCTAATCAGAAATCATGACCAGCATTTTGATCTTTAACCAAGTGACAAGTGTGAACTCTGATGTATGTACCTCCATGATGAACTAACACTAGTTTCCCATCAGGTCCAATCACAATATATGGCCCATGCCATTCTTGGCTATGATTCCTTTTGTAGAATACTTAATTGCCATTTCTTAAATCTTCTTTATTAGTATCCTTAGTACTCCTTAGTGCTCTTCTTATTCTTTTATTAGATTCAAACTTTACAAATTCCTGCATAGCATTCAAAATTTTCCTCACTATAATAGATGTAGTGACAAGTTCCAATGCGGGAAGATTATTATGTAAAATATCTGGAACAGCTGGATTAAAACCAAAAAACAACTTATTAGGGGAAAAATGAGAATTGTTGACAAGTGTGTAGTTACGAACTACGGACCTTTGGGTTCACAACCCAGAGGTCCGCAGATTGTAACTACACTCTACTACTATTTGTTAATCCTCAATGAATCAATTGGATTTACAATAAGGTAATCCTTCCTGTTAGTCTGAATATTGACAACTGAACAAATGAATCATTTTCAATATGGCTGCCAGCATTTTATAGAAGCCACTACCTGGTGGCACTAGACAACAGCCAAAAGGCAAGGGCAATAACTACAGCATTAACATTGATGTTCTGTCTTATGAACTGGTTCAGTGTTCAAAACTGAAGATGAATTTTCAAGTAAAAATAGGTTCAATGCCAGTATTTAAGCTGAAACTGAGTGTACCATTCACAACATTAGAGCAAATAAATGAAGAGTTGGACAGACTAGAAAGAATTGGTCTATTACAGAAAGTAAACTATTCAAAATAGGCTGCACCCAGCAGCAGTGTACATAAAGAAAAAATGACAAAATTTGTATTTGTGCAGATTTCTCAACTGGATTAAATAGTTGTTTTGAAAAACAAACTACTCATTACCAAGCCCAGAAGAAATATTTTTGAAGTTGAATGGCAGAAAAAAATTTCAACATAGAAGACACCAAAATCAGCTGAAATAAAAATTCACTGATGAAAGACCTGAAGAACTGTTTAAAATGCTGTATGAAATTTTTGATGTGCCAATACCTAAACAAGTCATGTAACCAACAAGGACAAGTTCAAGAAAAAGAAAATGTACAGAAGAACTAGAAGTGGATCTGAGATGGAAACACTACAAAGTAAAATACATTGATGAACTCTCCAGAAAGAGGAGGTAGGGATACTAATAAAATAAAAAGAAAAAATTTATTTATTTAATAAAGTAGTAATCTCAAAAGGGGTGGATGTTGTGGAGTAAAGAGTACACCTCTAGTGACTCTATGAACTTGTCCAATACTATAAAGAATTCCATGGTATGAGTCCATTGGCAGTCGTATTGGAGTCGGTCTTCATACCAACTATACAGGCATTACAGCAATAGCCTTAGCCTTATGTATAGCAAGTATGAGTGTGTGTTATAACAATAACCTTACAATAAGGAAGTTATAATATATATTAAAAGAGAAAATTCTGTCTTTATTGTATGATCATCTGGATTGGATTTATACACTTTTCATCATTAGTCAGTGTTCAAGCCCATATAAAAGCCAGCACTTTGAATCCTGCTTTTAATGATAGGCAGATAGTTCCCATTTTGAAAAATGACACAATACAATCTTCTTAGTTCTCCTATGTTAGTCATAAGTCAAAGATCAGTTCCATAAATATAATGACATCTTACCATAAGTTAATAGTAAGCAAACTAGTCTTGTATATCATTATTGTTGTACTGGTTTCAATCCTCACCGGGTGCTTCCTCACACTAATACATTGTGCTGCACTAAGCTTAACACACACACACACACACACACACACACACACACACACACACACCAATATATATTAATGTATATTTGAGAAGAAACATGTCTTTTAAACATGTTTTTTTGAATATATATAACTCCAAACAAGTTTTGTTAAATTCAACTGACAAAATCTGTCAGTTTAATTTTTTATTTCATTTTTCCATCTTTCAAATAAAATTTACATAATCCACAATTTTAATCCTGAGGTAAAACATTCAAAAATTGAAAAAATATAAAAAATTAAATGGATATATCCTGTTGGGTGAATTTAAAACTTGCTTGAGTGAATTCTAGTGCATAAATATATATTTGCATGTGTGTGCGCGCACGTGTGTGTGTGTGTGTGTGTGTGTGTGTGTGTGTGTGTTTGCATATAATAACAATAATTGTAAAAACATGGGTGAAACTAGTACCTATATATTCTTTCAATGTGGAATAATTGTTAGTATCAAAGATTGAAGTTAGTTTGATCTTCATTGTTACCTTGTGATACAAAGCTAAAAAGTACAAGTACTTTGCTATAAACTAGTGGTTGCTACAGTAGTGAGTCTGTTTCTCAGTTGGTATTACTCACTTGACCTTGTGCTGCATTAAGCTTAGTCAATAATTAAAGTGTCTTGCTAATACCTAGTGATTAGTAGGCAATCTTTAACCAAAATTTAAATGTAAATTTATAACATTAAATTTTTAAACTCTGTAATGATTTTGGGAATAATCTGCATATGTACATGTAATATAGCAGATATTAATTAAGCATAGACTGGTATGAGGCCACAATGGTAGAACACTCAATAACTATTATCCTGTGAGATTAGCAAATAATTGTTGTGTTTTGGAGTGTTTTATGCATTTTATGTGGTTTGATCAGACAAATTTCTTCATCTTTGATGTTTGTTTTTATATTCAAAAACATTCCAGACAGATAAGCAAAGACAGCTGCAGGGTGATATGGCCAAAACATTATAGAAAACAAAGATGAGGAAATTAGTTTAAATAAAACAATGTACAATTACTATGCATGCTTCTAAATTGATATTGATCAAAGGTAATTAGGGATCCAGATCATATTTCTAGAGCATTCATAAAGAATTAAAATCATGATCAATGGATTTTGAAACAAGTAGACTGACAACCTCAAGGTTATGGTTTTACTCACACAAACTCAAGGTCATGGTGTTATATACTGCTGAGTGATTTATGTATACATGTTATTGCGCAGGTTTGGCTTATAAAAATTGACCAGCTAGCCAGAAAGTGGAGAAACTATCAAGTAGAAGCAGATGAAATAAGATTCCAATTCTACCCTGATCAGGATGTGTTCAGCAGTAGTGTAGCTAGAGGGTGTGTTTAAGTGGAGGGTGGTGCCCTGGGCAACACTTTTATGGGGGCACCACTTTTGTGTTTGCTGGATAAACCTGTATAGGCTGTATTGAAATAAAAGTGGTTTTAATGTTGGGCACTACTCACAGTTGAAGGACCTTTTCAATTTCAAGTAAACTTAAACTATGCATATGTATTTAAGTGATTGTTATCTTGGCCAAACAATAAACATTATCTAGTAATGTATTCAGGGCTGTTTTATCAGTGTTAACAATGTGAAACCTGTAAACGGACCCAAGTACATTCTTTTAATGCAACACTGTTGTGTTTGGAAGACACATCTTGGTTGTTAAATAAATTTCAGTTATTTTTCTTGACTGAAATTAATTTGGGGTATGTATATATATATATATATATATATATATATATATATTATAATTATAATTATTTTTTAAAAATATGATTCCTTTGCTACATAAGAGTTCTCATGTTTCAAAAACAAGAGCTAAAAACTTCAATATAATTGTCAAAATTGAATTGAATTAAATTATCAAGCTGTTTCATCTTCAAGCGAAATTATTTGGAATAACTAATCTTGAAATTTACACGTCTTTATAAGCATATTCATTTGTAAAATTAATAACTATGGAAATGGCTAGAGCAATTATTTAAATAAGGGGCATAAGGGTTAACAAATTGATACAAATTGTTAACCCTTATGCCCTTATTTGAATTATTAGCTGTTTACATAGTAAATTTAATTTTAGTTATTCCAAATATTTTGCTTGCAGATAAAACAGAGCTTGATACTTTAATTCAATTTAATTTTAATAATTATATTGAAGTTTTTAGCTCTT